CAAGCACCACACAGACACCGGCTCTCTCCCTTCCCATGGAATGCAAGAGAGAACTGGAAGAGTAACAGTGAGAAAACTCGTGGGTTGAGACACAGTTTATTATGTAGTACACAGATGAGGTAGAGGTCGGTGTTGGGGCTTGAAGAGTAGGGGAAAACTGGTGAAGACTGGGAAACCATGAGCAGGAGAAGCCATGACACAAAGGGTGTCACTCTCGTTTTGATGAATGCACCCTCTTCTTGGGTTTGCTGCTTTGGGTTTCCCCTTTTTGCAGTGGCGTAGAGCATTTTGGATCAGCCTTCGGCAAACAGCCTTCCCCCATCACAGACACCGACGGGCTCTTCTGAGGTGACTTCAGGTTGGAAAGACTAGGAAGAAAAGGACTGGTATTAGCCAGACAAACATTACCAGCCAGCCAGCTGCTTGCCTGTCTCCTCACAGAGCACACAGTGTTGCATCCTCTCTGCACTCAAGCAGCGAGCAGCAGATGAAACAGAACTGCATTCCCTGCCCCGGAGGCAGCAGAGGGGGAAGGGCAGAAACACAACCAGTTATGGGCATGGGGACCAACTGCAGCACACGGGGTTCCATGTAGAGAAGGAGGCTGTGCTTGTCCCATAAGGAAGCATAGCTAGGGACTGGCTGGCCCCTTGACAGCCGTTCTGGATCTCCCATTCCAAATTTTGCAACCCTCCAGGAGCTAAACATTTCATACAATATCTGCTCCCATTGTCTCCACACAGATCCAGAGGCATCTCCACAGACATCTGGCCCAAGGCCAGATGATCATCTCTCTGTGCTCCTGTATACTGGATGTTCCTGCTGCCTCTCTGGGGTTGGCTGTCCCCGGGGCTGCATGCTCACCCACCCCAGTCAGAGGGACGGAAGGGAGGGTGTCAGAGGATGGGCCAGGCTCTGCTTGGTGCTGCCCATCAATAGGATAAGAGGCAATGGGCAGAACCTGATGCAAATCAAGTTCACCTGAACATGAGGAAGAAATTCTTTCCTGTGCAGGTGATAGGTTCAGAGAGGGTGTGGAGTCTCCCTCACTGGATATATTCCAGAACCTGCTGGACACAATCCTGTGCCATGTGTTCTGGGATGACCCTGCTTGAGCAGGGAGGTTGCACCAGATGGCCCACTGTGCAGGGTCCCTGCCAACCTGACCCATCCTGTGATACCCAGCAGGAGCATGGATTGGAAAGCACCTGGACATTTCTTACCTGCACAGTATTTGGGCCTTAAATTTCCCCACGCGCATCGGGCAGAATTTCACACGGAAAATCTGCTTCTGTCCAGCAGGGATGGTACCGCAGTGGGGCTTGATGGAGAACAGCGGTGGGTCATTGATGTCATCTGGAAGCAATTCCAGGGAGGAACTAATGCGCTTCAAAGGGCAGGGCAGCCGCTTTGAACAGCGCGGACTTGACTGGGGCTGAGTTGATGACTGGGGCTGAGTTGACTCGAGCGGCAATGCCCAGTGCACCTGTCTTGGGTGACTCTTGAACCACTCCTCCACAGCAGCAGAGGACAAGAAATAACCTGCAGGACGGAAGAGGACATGTTTCAAAGACAAAATTCTTTGTTCCCAACAACTCTGCCCCTTGCTGCAGCTGGACAGAAGAGAGCTGGGATGCACTTGGAGCTCCTCTGGCCAAGTCCTTTCAGCAGGAGACAGAGCGGCTGGGAGCAGGGTCTCCGCCTGCAGCACACACTCCTGTGCCAGGGCAGGAGGGTTGGCTTTAGACAGTGACTTTGCATTTGCCCTGGAGCGGGGAACTGCACATAGACAGTGGCTGCAGGGCAGCTCACTTGTTCCACCTTTGTTTTTCCCAGTCTCAGAGACTTCCCAAAGAGGTGCCCTGATGTCCCCCTTTCCAGTCCTGACCCAGCATGGGGCTCTCCCTGGAGCCTGGCTCAGCTCCTGCGCAGAGCACAAAGTGGCAGAGCAAGTGGCAGGGTCTTCTCCCCAGGCTCTCAGCTACCAACTGAAATGTCCCGGGCACACCTCCCAGAGCCAATGACTTACTCATCAGAGTGGTTGAGAATGGCTTCTTAGAACACTTTGATGGTTTTTCCTCCTCCAGAGTCACCTCCCAGGAGTATTCCAGGGCTACGTTCCCTGTATTGTACATCCAGAAACTGAAAAACAAGGAGGAGGAATAACAAGCAAGTACTAAAGTAACACTGTGGTGGGCTCCTAGTACCACCTCCTGCTGAGGAACACTGCCTTCCCCAGGCAACTCTGCCACGTTCTGAATTGCTGCCCTGGGTGGCCCAATCAAAGTATTTCAAAGAGTATCTGGAAGTTTAGGAGGAAAGGGCCAACATGGTGCCCAGCACTCACGTGCTTCTCTCTGTCTGGAAGAGCTCGGTCTTCTTGAATTCAATCTCGACCGTGTCCAGTTTGAACTTGGTGTAGTCAACCCGAGCGCTGAGCTCAACCTCGTGGCTGCTCTCTTCCAGGACGGTGTGAGATGGTTCCTGGAGTGCCCTGGCCACCTGCAGGTAGAGGAGGGAAGAATCACTGAGCAGAGCCCAGAAAGCCAGGCTGAGAAGAGCAATCTTTTGGCCTCCAAACTCAGCCACATAGAAAGGACATTCCGGTTTATTTCCCTGGCAAGATGACAAAATTGGGCTGTTCTACTACAGTATTGGTTTCTACCCACTGATCAAAGCAGTCACCACCACAGCTATTAATACACCTATGGGGATTATGGGCAGCTGTCAGTCCCTGTGCTTCAACGCTGTAGAGTCTCTGACCTTTTCCCTGGTCCCTTATAAATCCAGCAGGTCTCAGCATTAGGATTAAGTTCCCCTGCTGGAGCTCTGTGGGTGGAGAAGCCCAAGACTGACCAGTCCTAGAAAGAACTTCTTCCTTTTTGTCTTAGGAGAAAGTGCTCTCCAGATGTCAGGTGTGGGGTGGGAGCTGGCTATGGGCATTTTGAGATGTGAATGATCTCACTGGGAAAGTCTCCAACTGCTGAGGCCCTGATGGGGAAGTTTGGTTTACAGGACTCACTATGGTTCAGAAACTCAGCAAGAACCTTCACCAAGATAAATGCGTTTGGCAATAATGATAGAAAAAAACAAGAGTTTCTGGAGAGAAGGCTTCTCCAGAGTCCTGCATACTGTCACACAGTGCCTGGGCTGCTCCATAATGAGATATCCCCCACAATACAGAGGCCACAGCCAAAATCTCTGGTATCGGCGTAGGCAGAGCTCGGAGCTCACCGGTGCACGCAGAAGAGCACTTGGGCTGCTCTCCACTTCCAAACAAGAGGCAGAGTGCAGTGGGTTTAACTCCTTGTGGGTGACAAGGCACCAAATCAGATGAAGAGATTTTAACACTGTAAAATGGGATAAAGTCAAAGGAGACCTCCCATTCAACACGGGCTGCAACACTTGGCTTGTGGCACAAACTGGTACTTTGTGTGTGGATAAAGGTCCCTTGCCAAAAGGCTTCCCCCTCTGGTGTGAGCACACCCGCTCACTGTGCACCCACCACTCCCCTAAAATGCACTGCTGGTGAACCTCATGGCTGGAGCCAATGCCCAGGGGAAGCAGGAGCTGCTCTGCCAGCAGCGCTGGTGGTCTGCTGCTGTCGGCAGGTCCCTTGGCAAAAGCTCGGTTAGCTTTTGCCGTTGTGCTTCTTACCTTCTGCTTCACAGGCCAGCGGGCTCCTGGGCGTTTCTCGGGGGTATCCTCCCACTGGACCGTGCGCATTCCGTCGTCCCACTCGTAAACCTCCTCTGGTGGCAGCTGGTATTTGATCTTGGCCACCTTACACTTCACAGAGTGCCTTTTGAAGGTGACCGGGACATTGGATTTCAAGGTCACTCTGATATTCTTGGCATGGCCAGGCTGGAGGTGTCCCACCTAGGGAGAACCAGAGAGTCAAGACCAAGCTGGAATCACTGGCAAGGGCAGGACTGACAGCAAAAGGGACAACATGGACAACAAGGACTGACAGCAAAAAACGGTGAGCAGCTGTGCTGGGAATCCGCACCTCAGCGAGGATTTATGTGAGATTTGATAGAGCAAAGTATGAACAGAAGGTGCCACCTCCCAGAACACGGAGCCTTTCCTGCTGGGCTGACAGCCCTGCCCCAGCAAAGCCAGGGATCACATTTCCTGCATGGCACTGGAACGGGCTCTCCGTGGTATGTGGTGACTCCCTGCCAGCTCCCAGGAACACCGGGAAAGGGCTTGAGCAACCGGGAAAGGCAGAGCTGTGCCAGCTCACCTTGGGGGAGAACTGGAACGGGGCGCTTGCCAGCCACTCAAACCGCATCACCTCCTCCTTGCTGCGGTTGGTGACTGCAAAGGTCTTGTCGCAGCGCCTCCCGACTGCACAGTCCCCGAACTCAACATGATTCACTCTGACAGCTGTGAAGAAGGAGAGCAAGAGATCTCAGCATGCAGTGAGGTCCACCCGTCCCCCTCCCTTGCAGAGACATGCGTACATTTGACTCTTCCTTGCTCCAAGCCTCCCTCCCTCTGGGAGGCCCCCAAGCCTGGGGCTGTGCCTGTGCCCAGCAACAAGCAGCAGAGCACACACTGCTCTGTGTGCACGGCTGGCAAGCTCACAGGCCACCAACTCCAGTGGGTGACAGCCCAGCCCTGGCTGGAGAGAGGACACACGTGATCAGGCATTTTCCTCTTCCTCGCTCTACCTTGGCAGCCTCTCCTCTCTTACCCTCAATGATGTCATCCTCCAGATTGCCCTTAACACTGCTCTCCTCGCTGTCTTCTGCTACTCCAGTGACGTTATCAAGGATGAAGTCATCATCGTAGCCTTCCCCCACCAGCTCTATGTTGATTTCACTGTTGCCTGACAGTTCCACACGGATCTTCCCTTCCAGACGTTGGGCCAGGGTGGGTTTGAAAAACACGTCAAACTCTGCTGATTGCCCATGTTCCAGGAGCATGTAAGGTTTCTTGTGATGCTTCTTGGCTGCACAGCAATGGGAAGCAGAGTTAAGTGATACAGCTGCACAGAGGAAATATTTCCCTGGGGTATACGAGGAATAAGAGGTTGAAATCAGTTGCTTCTAAGAAGAGTTTCTCCCATCAGTTGTTCCAGACCCTCTTCCTATGTTCACAAGATGATGCCACCTTCACACATATCACCACTTAAGCGGCCTAACCTCAGGTTAACACCCAGCCCTCATTCCATCTGCTTCCAGCCAGCTCCTGCCATACGGAAGGCTGAGCCAAGGAGTGCTTTTGGCTTCCGCTGGCTGGCTTGTGTGCTCAAGGGCTGCCTCCGTTCAGGCTGACACCTTCCCACATGTGGCAAAGACCTCAGCCCATCCGTTGAGGTGGTGGTAGTCCCCCGCAACTCAACCCACTGTGTCTAGAAGAACAGAAGAACTTCCTACGACTTGCTGGGAGGAAACCCTGCAAGGAATCCACAAGAGAAGCTCGGGGGACAGAGAGACCAAGGAAAGAAACTAAGTCTAACATGGGGCTGCTGCTTAGACAAGCCAAGAGCAGGGCACACCTTTTCCCTCCGTGAACGGTCACACTGCATGGTTAATGGATTTACCTTTTCCGGTGGAGTCCTCCTCCACGTCTCCAATGTGGAAGGCCTGGAATGCAGACTGCCTGCCTTTCATGGAGAAAACTCTCCGTTCATCCATGAGTCGTACTGTAAACTGAGAAAAGAGAACACAGAGCACAATGACAGGGGTGTGAGTAGAGGATGGCACGTGGATTGAGCCTGCACTGCCGCTGGTCCAGCATGGGGAACCCAGACCACCTCCCCGCCTCGAACACAGCTCTCAGCACTAAGGTGAAGTCACACAGGGAAAAAAATGGGTTCAAAAGCATATGGATAGAACTGACATAGAGCCAAACAGGACAGACAACCATGAGCAGAGTGTAATTAAACCACAATTAGGTTTAATTAAAATAGAGTCAACTAGTATCAAACGCAATCTCATGGACCTGGGACATCACACACGGCCACATGAGAACAAAATGTGAGCTGGGAGACAGGGGGAAAAACATGCCTGTTGGGGTAACTCTGCTACAGATAAAAGAATGCAGGAGTTTGTAATATTGCTAAATTGACCACGTGTCCAAGATGGTGATTGTGACTTTGTGTAACCGTTCTTGTTCCCAAAACCCCTCACTGTACACCTTGGAATGCCTAAGAGATGACTGGGAACTCACCTATTGGCTGTTAACCCTTTCTTGTAATTGGTTGGTTTGTAACACCTCCTGAACTCCCAGCGGTCACTTTGTAATCCACCCAAAAGGTATTTAAGCTTTGACCACAACAATAAAGCCCTCTCTGCCTGTTTTCCCTGCTGCCTGGCTGTCGGCGCCGTGGCTCTCTCTCTGGGGGTCATGAGCAGCCGCGGGGTAAAGGCGGGGGCGGGAAGGGAGCATCTCCCCCAGGAGCTAGGGGCAGAAGGCCTCTCGCCCGGGGATCCCCGTCCTGTCCTTCAGCGTTCGCAAATGGCGCCCAACGTGGACTGGGTGAACCTGCCCCTTCCGTGAAGGGAAGACACCCCTCAGCGCAGAGGGAGTTTCGATTCTCTGCGTCCGGCAAACGCCTGGAATCTCAGCGTTTCCGTGTTCACAAACTCGGAGGTTTGTGGGACATCCGTCAAACCTAGCTTCACTTCGGAGAAGGTAGGGGAGCAGATTCCAGCATTTTCCCCTATCCCTCTTACCCTTCAACAATTCCATCAGCAAGTCATTTTAAAAGGACTGCCTAAAGAACTAAAAAAGGAGAGTTCCGTTCCAGCTAAAGAACTCAGATAATTGGCGAGGAAAGAGTTAAACTTGTTAAAACCAGCCACGCAGCTTTCCCTCCCGGGAATAACCCCGGGAAGCAACTTTGTTTCTTCAACCCCCGGGATCGTTCCTACCGGAGCAGTCGAGCCCATCCCGAGGCCGTCCCTGCAAAATCCCGCAGACAGCTGGGAAAACACTCCACCCTGTCCCCGGATCAAGAGAGAAGCAGCACAACCACGCACACCGAAAAAGCGCCCAAGCCCCCTCCCCTGCCGTGCCGCGCTCCGAGAGCCGACCTCCCCGGCCGGCCCCATGTGGCCGGAGAAACAGCACACCACGGGGCAAAAAGACTTTCTCCCGAGCCCAAAGCGAAACTGGCTGAAAGACAAATGAAACAGAAAAGCAACATCTTTTCCAAGCATCGGTAAATACCATCTGCTAAAAAAGTGACTCTAATGAACTTTTCTAACTGCAGTATGTGTTGATATATCCAGCAGTAAATGAAACAGAATGAAAATGGTTTTAAGTAAATGAAAGAATTTTGCAAATATAAACCTGGGTAACTAATATAAAATGCCTTTAGCAAAACAAAGACCTATCAGTGGGGTATAATGTGTAACTTTTAAGCATTGGAAAGTAATTAAAAACGGGGAAAATTAGGTAATACAGCCAGAAAAACCCATTTGCTTAGTTTAAAAAAAAAAAAAATTTTTTTTTTGTTTGTTGTTTGTGTCTTTTCATGTCTGCCAGGAGTTTTAGATCAATAAAGGTTTATCCAGCTTTATCCCACCACCTTTCTTCTGTTGTTTTCAACTGAAGAGGAAAGATTAGACAGAAAATCACATTTCTGGGGCCCTTCCTCCACAAGACAAGCACTTGTTCCCAGCCCAGAGCATTCCCTGAGCAGGTCCTTACCTTGGTGGGTACGACACCGTTGTTACGAAGGACCAGGGGGAGTTTCTGTGAATCCCCCAGCAGGAGCCTCCTGAAGCGCAGCACAGGGTTTCCTCTCTTACTCTGAAGGCTCGGGCACACCACTGTCACCTGAGGCACGTGCCCCTCTCCACTGATAGTGAAGGTCAGTTGTTGGGGTTTCGTCTTCACAGAGCTGCTGGAGAGGCACAGAAACCATTTCAGAATAAGACTTATAAATAATTTCCCTAATTTGAATCATGTTGTACAGCAGATAAATAATGAGGCACCAGATGAGACGTGGCAAACCCTCTGGCTGCAGTGATATAAGACATATGCAACTAGCAAAAGCACACCATGAAAACAGTATGAAAGCAAGAAGGGAAAACCAAATCAACACCACCATCAGTAAAGACTATTTCCAAGGATACTAAAAGAGGAATTGCTTGTTAGGGTAGAAAGCTGACCTCTCTGTTCCAGTTCAGCCACTAAAGGCTTGGGGAAGGGCAGGTACTTGGGGAAGGGCTCCAGTACACAAGTCCCACTAGGGAGAGGAACCGGGCTTCTCTTTGGTAAGAGGTCCAATCACTCCCGTGATATAAAAATAGCTAAATGAATGCCAGGGAACCACACAGGATCACCTCCTTTTACAGAAATAAGGAGGAAATCTTGACCTGCTGCCACAGCAACTGCTTCATCTAAGCCTTTGTCTTTGGAAAGTCCCAGTTCAGCTGTTGCAGTTCTCAGTAACTTCCAGCTGGCTACCTAAGGCCCTCTCTTCAGAGTCCCTCACACAGGCTGAAGCGTCCTCCTCATTTTTCTGCTCTGCTCTGCCTAACAGTTACTGCCTCCCAGATCATCTCATGCCAAATACTCTGCCTAAGGGCACTGAAAGCATTAGAGTTACCGAGGAGAGGCAGCTACTAGAACGGTCCACCCCAATACTTCCCAGGGTCAGTTACCTTTTGGGGATAACAAGGGAAGCTGTGAAAATGCCCTGGTACTCTTCCTTTTGTTCTGGAGTGAAGGTCACTGCAGCAAAGGCATGGGATAAGCCAGGAATGTTCATCTCGGCAGGATCCAACTTGAAGATGTTGCTGATGAGCTTGTGAGGCTTGGGGGGAACCCACAGCGCAGTGTTAGGAGGAAACACCTTTCAAGGTGACCCAGTATATTCATAGATGCCTCCCTGGGGACAGTCCCAGACAGCGTGTCTTGCTTCACGCTTCCCTGGGCAGGCTCCTCCCCGTCCCAGGGGATGCTGACCTTGCGCTACTGCCCAGGCATGCAAAAGCTTGCTTGGAGGGCTGGGCAGCCACCTCAGCACGTGTGGGAGGTTGGGACTGCATGGAAACCCCTGGAAATAACCTAGGACTGGCCTTCCAAGAGAAGGAAAAGCCAGGCAATGCTCTGCTTTGAGCTCTGGCCCCTCAGTTCGGAACAGCCCCTCTCTGAGTGTGCTTTCCAGAGACGTTCAGAAGGCAAGTGCCCCCCTGGCATTGCTGCTCTCCCCTGCAATTTGACCTGGACTAGTTCAGCTAGGCCAGAGAACGCAATAACTCTGGAGAAGAAGGCAGGCTCTCACATGGCCTTTAGAGAGCCTCTTGTTCTTACCTCTCCAGGCAGGGCTTTGATGGAGAGGACCACGTCACATGGGACACTGCTGCTGTTAGAGATCTTGAAGTGAGCCGTGGCCCCTTGCCCAACCAGAACTTTGGTGAAGATGAATTTGTTGTCCTCTCGGATGAACACACCGTTGCCTTGCACCGACTGTAATGTCTGGCGGAGATTGACATTGCTGTGGATCGGGTACTTCTCGAAGATGGATGAGACGTCTTCAACAAGTGCTGCAGACACACCAGAGGGAGGGCTGAGGTTGGAGAAGCCTCTTTGCTGAATTTACCTGGACCCAGCTGGCCTCTGAGACAGCTTGATAAGCCCTTTCTGCCCAGGTGACTGCAAAACCCAGCCTTGGATGAGAGAGCTCAGTCAGTGAGGATGGAGCTCAGTCAACCTCAGTCTTAAAGGGCATTGGTTTCCTTTTACGTTTCCACACATCCCTCCCAGCCTCTCCCCACTGGTGGACTTGAAAAGGACTGCAACCTCTGAGGATTTTAAGGTGGGACTTCAGGACCATGGGGCGTCTCTATCCAAGGAGCAAGTTTAGGTGCTGATCAGCAGCAGGACTGACCATGGGGAACCTGAGGACAGTAGGTACCTGGGAAGCAGGACTCGGCAGTCAGGGTAAAGGGAATGCCGAGGGGATTGTCCTTGGGGTCTCTGTTGCTGATGTCAATGCACAGCTGCTCCTCACATTTCCCCTCTGGTCCTGCGCTGCAATCCACTGTGATCTTCTGCTGGCCCCAAGGACCGATGGAGCCGGAGCAAGGGGACACCGTGAACATGCCTACAGTGAGCTGAGCCTGCAGAAAGAGTACCAGGACAGGCTGATGCCTAACAGCTGTACCCTGAACACCCCCAGCATGGAGTATGCCACGCCTTGGCCTCCAGCTGGGCCCAAGCACCCAGTCGCAGGGCAGGGAAGGACAACTCCTTGGCCCAAAGGCAGCCCCAGGATGAGATGAACAAGCCAGGAGGAGCTGCAAGTCTGTCCCAAGTGGCAGAGAGAAAGGGGTTTGAGTGTAAAGAATGAAGGTGGTAGCTGGGATCCTTCAACCTCCAGGGGTACCAGAGAGCAGAAATGACTGGGAGAAATGATGGGACAGAGAGAGGAGATTGGGAAGAAGAAAAAGCAAAGTTGTCAGTGCTCTAGGGATTGGGTGTTCAGATGGGGACAGTTTGCTCCTAGGGTGTTCACAGACCAATGCTGGCTAGCAGCCACCAAACATAGGACCTGCTCCCCTCTCTTGTCCCCACAGCTCCAGGTCGGAGCCAGAGCATGGGTCTGCCAGTGGAACTGTGCAGACACTGGACTCTCCATCCCGCAGACCACGTCCTCCCCCCAGCCTGGGCACAGCTGCATCCTCCCACATGCCCTGCAGCAGCACAAGTTGGGGAGGAGCGGGAGCCACCCACCTGCATCGAGCGCTTTCTTTGCCTGACCGAGGGGGCAGACTCCTCTTGCCGTGAACTGAGAGGAGAAAGCAGAGACATCTGTCACGCTGAGCTGCCCTGCCTTTGTCTGAGGCCAAAGCTGGCCTTCCTCCCCAGGGAGGAAAGCCTTCCTGCTCCTGATGGCCCCCGGAGAGCTTCCTGCAGCACCCATTGCTGCAGTTTATGGTCAGAGCAGCTGTATGACCAGCTTTGTCCCACACATGGGGATACTGAGGTATTTCTTTGCTCCCTCTTCCCAAGTCAGTGACCCAAATGGACGATAACCCAGGTCTGGCTGCCTGTCACACACCAGCTGTGTGGTGGTGCCTCCCCAGACAGAAAGCCTGGTGCAGGTCTTCTCTTACCTTTGCGGTGGAGGTGCTTGGTGGATGGAGAATTTGAAATTGAGGGCGCCTTTGTTCTCCAAAATTAAGACCTGGGTCTTCTTGGTTCCCCTCATCATGGCACCGAAGTCGATGGGTGAGGCAGGCTCGATGCTGTACTTGCTGTACACAGCTCTCGCCGACACTCTCAGTGGGATGGTGGCAACAGTCTGGTCTCCTTGACTCAATTTGGGATCAGTGACCTGCAACCAGAGGAGGGGCTGGTAAACACAGCAGAGAGGCCAGCCTCTCCCTCTGTCCCCTGACCCCACCCCAGGTCTCCATCAGCTCACCCTCCCTATTTAAAGCCTCCTCCAGAGCCAGATTTTCAGCCCTCTTATGAAGACTCCCAAATGGTTTCGCAAGTCTTTGTGTATGTAGGAGAGAGATGCCCCAGCTAAAGTCTTCTTTGCAAAAGACACCGAACACCTATCCTGCTTATGCTCCCAAGATGCACTGTGCTAACACAGCTGGGCCCAGGCAGCTCACCTGGCAGAGCAGGATGGGTTTGCTCTTGAGAAACACTTCAGCTGTAGGGTGGAAGAGAACCTCAACTTTCACAGGTGGCTTGGAGGCTTTCAGCAAACCCCTCTGCGGCCGGACAGTGAAGTGAGATTCCAAATTGCTCATCTTGGCATTTCCAGTTCTCAGCTTGAAACTGTGGAGAAAGGCAAAGAATGAAGACCTCTGAAGTTAAAAGCACAGTGCCACCAGCACAGCCAGGACTTTGCATAAGACCAGAAAAAAAAAAAAGAAAAGGCAACAGCATGGGAACAGGTTCCAGCCACGGACAGAGGGAGAACGCAGGCCTGGGAGCCTGAGGAAAAGCTCAGCACCAGGCTGCTGGACTCACCTGTACTCAGTGTCATATAAGCCTTGGTTCTTCAGACTCAGGACTTCCTTCTTATTATCCAGGACATTAATGGTTCCAAATTCCAAGCTACCATCTGGACCTGCAGAAAACATGCAGAGCGAGGTAAGAAGTGGTGAATATTTGTGAGCTGCTGCAGACCACACCCGGTCACAAGCTACGTAGCTGGAGTTCTTGGATGGCACAAGACCCTCTTCAGCAAGTGTCCCTTCTTGGAAGTGTTCTCTAGCTACTTTCTCTTCTTACTCCCAAGTATCTGCAGGGTAGAAGCCAAGGAGCTTGGTTTCCATTTCCTTGCTTCCAAGCACAAATCCAACTACTTTATGTTTTGTGCTGAGCCTTTGGGAATTGCCAGCTGCCTTTTCAGATGACTTGTTGTTTCAAAGCACCTAATCCAATCTGCACACAAAGCTGCACGTTTCAAAGTTCAGAAGGAAGGGACTCAAGGCTGTTGGTGCTCTGACAGTGCTTTACTTCACGGAGCTTGCAAGGAATGTGCTTTATGTATCTGTGCCACCCTTGCCTGCTATGCCATCCCCTCCCAAGGGCTTTGGTAGCCTACCTGCCAAGGTAGGAAAATGCACCCAGACTCTTTCGTCTGGGAGGCTTCCACTGACCTTCAGGCATGTTGATGCTCAGATTAACATCATAGACCTCCACAGAGACTTTGATAGTTTCAGCGTGAACAATCCCCAGGATGTTTTCTGTGTCTGAAACCTGAGGCAGCAAGAAACAAACACTGCTTAGACCATTCTTTTGGAAGACAACCTCTAAGTCCTTGTCTTTGCCAGCTGCTTCCCCCATGGCCTCCCTGGCTTGACAAGTGTTTGTGGCCTCCCAAGCTTTCCTAACCTGTTCATCTCACAGGCTGCCCCGGCAGGATTCTGCTACAGTAAGAAACCTTATCAGCCCAATTCTGCACAGCAGGGAATGGTGCTGCTAGAGCACCCTTGAGAGGCCCAGGGATGTAAACACAACCACAAGAAATGTGAGGTGTCCCAGAGCAGGTGGCACTGGCAATTAACGCCCTCCTCTTCAATCACCTCGCATCCTTACTGAAATGCAGCCTCTAAACCACAGAGAACAAAATCCCAGAAAGGGTACAGAGAGAATGCTGGTCCGTACAACCAAACAACAGCCTTCAACCGTGCACAGCAGCCAGGTGGCTGTGGCACAGGCTCCGGATGCAGAGCCTGGGCACCTGGCCAACCCAGCGCAGAGGCACAAGTTGGGGCCACAGCACCCTTGTGCCTGTCAGGTGCAGCTCTTCCTGACTCTATCCCTAAGAGCACACAGCTGCTTGTTCTGCCCTGCTCTGCCAGGAAGGCCCAAGTCCCTCTCACCTCTAGTCGGATCATCTTATTAATGATGCCAATCTTCTCGGCCTTGAAATTCAGCTTCACTTCAAAGTCCGTGTGGGGGCCAACGATGCCCCTGCCTTGTGACACAGAGAAGTCATCTCCGAGGTCATCCAGCCCACTGAGATGCCATGCCATGGGCAGTGGGCTGTCGTTTTTCAGGACCAGGGTCTGGGTGTCAGTCCTGCAGAGACAGGAAGACACTTGGCGTCAGCTGCTCGGTGGCCACACCAGCCTCGCCATGGAATGCAGCTTGAAGCAGCTCCATCTGAGCCTCTGGAACCAGAGTTCAACCTCTTCTCTTTGTCACAAGCCTTGGAGTGCCCTCAGCCACGGGATGACTGACCTGTGCAGAAGCAGCCTGTTGAAACGCAGCTCCTGGGGGCTGACCCCCAGCTTCACGTGCACCCCTTCGCAGCACAGTCGGAAGACCACTGGCTCCGGGTTGTCCTTGATGCAGCAGATGAGACTGTCTTCCAGGAGGCCAGCGGAAGTCGGGTATGCCCAAATACTCAGCTTCTGAACCCGTCCCCACAAAAAGAAATACAAAGAGCCCTCTGTGAGCAGGAGGAACGGCACTTCTACGGTGCCTGCCCTACCTGCTTGTCTCCTACCTTTTTCTCTTTGGGTTTCAGCATCATACTGGGAGGGTCCAAAAGGAATGTCTCTCCTTTGCTGTCCTTCTCAAAGGAGAAATGCACCTCTGCCTCCATGGGGAAGTCATTGAAGATGGTTAACTTTTCGCTGTTGGCGGGGCAGTTCTGGGACTTGTACCTGTCCACAGAAGGGGAAAAGGCTGCAGAGGAGACTGTTGCCCTTACCACATACTGAGGAAAGCACTGTGTGCCAGCAGCAGGAAGTGGCACTGGAAGACCATGGTCTAACAAGCAGGTCAAGAAAAAAGGTCCCTGTCAGGGGCACAAGGTCTGTGTGCTCATCCTTGCCTTACTTTGATGCCTGCACCTGTACTTGGCGCCTACACCCCAGAAGCGTGAGGATGCACAGGCCATTTCAAGAGTGTTTCACACAATATAAATTCAAAAGTGCCTGGAAAAACAATACAGCAGGCACAAGGGTTCTTTCCCCTTCTTTCTTGGGGTGCCTTCCCTGCAGAGGATAGAGACAGGCTTTTGAAATGATGTTTTCAAAACAGTTTAGCTTATCTCTTTTAGAAAAGTCATCTGACTACCGTGGGTTAGCTCAAAAGCCTGAGGGAAAGAAATCAAAAGCATCAATTCCCAAGGAGAACATGAAAGATAACAAATGACCCTTCTCTGAGGTGTGCAAACTGAATCTGGAATGAAAGGGTTAAAGAGGCAAACAGAAATCCCAGACATCCATCAGCCTGGCCCTCCAGAGCTCCCATGGAGACAAGAAAACTTCAAATATTATTACAAAAATAAAAACAAGAGTGACATTAAAAATAGAAATATGCCAACAGCTACAATTACAACATTTTTAGGCAGACTTTTTTCCAGTACTGCAGATGCAATGGAATCTCAGGAAAACGTAATTCCTGCTGTCGGTTCCCCTCTGACATGCACATATTGGCAGGTCAAATCACAAAGTTTCACTATCATTAGAGATTAATGAAAGGTTTACAAAACCATCTAGAAAATACTTGCTCGTTTAGTCCACCTGTAGAGCTCAAAGCACTTGAAGAAGCACCATCAAGTTCATTTCCTAAGGGGTGGAGCTGAGATGGGGAGCGGGACACAAGTTGCCCCGAGTCACCTTCAGGCTGGCAGCAGCATGTGGTTCTGGACACCAGGGCACTCGCCAGATTGGCAAAGCAGCTCCTCCAAGGCTCATTTGCCTGTCATCTGCTCACGCTCTCACATCTGTGGTCCCTCAACCCCATGTCTCCCAGCCTGGGACTGCCCTGATTGTGCCCCTGGGACAGTGTGTCTCCAAGTGTGTCCAGGAGAGCACAGGGCCCTGGAGATCCCCTCCCAACATCTCAGTCTGTACAGGCAGCACACAGGGATGCTCACTTGGGAGCAGGGAGCACATACCACTCTCTTGACTTCCCACAAAGCAGAGGTCCAAAGTGGAACTGCTTTGTGCTCATGACATACTCCTTGAAGATGATGTCCTCCTCCTTTTTGCTCTTCCTCCAGTGAGGAAACACCAGCCTGGGCAGAGAAAATGGGGAATGAGGAGCTATGAGATGCTCCAAGTAGGAAATCCAGTCAGAAAGCCATCTCCCTTCTTGGTGGCTGAGGCACCAGCTCAACCTCCCAGCTCCCAGCAGAGGAAGAGGTGCTGCTGACTCAGGCAGTACCACCTGCCCCAGCCAGAAGGTCACAAGGGGCAGCCCTGGCTCCCAGGTCGGGGGGAGCGGTGTGTGATGCTCCTGTGGCCCAGCCTTACCGTGGGTTCTGGCTGATGCTGGGGTACAGGGCAGTGGCACTGCAGGGCAACTGGTACAGGCGCTTTGACCCCAGGATCTCAAAATTCATCATCTGGTCAAACTGCCCTGGCACTGTGGCACTGAAGCGGATCTTCAGTTCCACCTCACCGTGGGCAGGAACTATCCACCGGAATCTTCTCAGCCTGGCAGGTAAAAAGGAAGCTTCAGGCATTGCAAAGGAGCAAATGAGACAAGGAGGAGGGCTGTGCACTCGCCATCCCATGGGGACACCGGCAGAGGGTCGCTGCAGAGCTGAGGACGATGGACCTTGTTTGGCAGGATGAGCGTGAAGCACAGGGATCACCTCCTCCCTTGCAGCTCACCTGGCAGGTCTCTCGAGGGTTGAGTCACTCTGCAGATGGCTTTTCCTTGACTCAGGTGAACTTCTGGGTGTTTCTGGGGAGTGATCCTGCAGACTTTTTGTGCTCTGGGTGGAGCTCTGCTTTTCCTGGGTGCTGCTCCTGGCACTCCCCTCCTTCAAGTTGTCCTGTGCCTTTGCCTCTGGGGCCTTGGCATAAGGGGAAGGAGAAAAGGCAGACAGAGGTGAGACCTGCCCTGAGACACCTCCCTCCTGGAAAGCAGAATGGGGGTTTGTTAGCCAACAGGAGAGAGAATAAATAATCACCACCTGCCCATGGACTTGGTCTTCCTTATTTGTCTTTGTCTTGCCTTGGACATCCCTTCTTACCCAGGACCCTCTCCCCACCGAGGCCCCTCTCATCAAGGCAAGGTGATGGGTTTAAGTGATTTTTTCCTGTTGTCTTACAGAACTGCTCTATGTCTCCAGCAGAGCTGTCTCTGTTCTCTCATCCCTGGTGGAAAGGATGCCTGCAGACATGGGGCCCCATCATGGCTTCACTGCCCCTCCATGGTGACCCTTTTCCATCCAACCTGTCCCCTGCCCTGGCACCTTCCCTGAAGGCAAAAAAGGAGTACCCACCACATCATCTTCTGCAGCAGCACCTTCAGGTTCAACAAGGATGAAGGGTCTGAGGTCTTCTGCTGCTGCAGGGACTCTGTCCTCCTTTGGGTAGGAGAGCACGGAGAAAAGAATTCCAGGGGGAATGGGAGGCCCTAAGGGACCCAGTCCCAGAGAGTCCAGGATCTAAAACAGAAGAGAAAACCCTGTTTGTACTCCTGTCACCTTCATCCTCCCACGCCTTCTCTAAAAGCCCTCAGCTTTTGGCAGTGGAGTTTTTGATTTATACAGAGTACAAGTGCTTTTTTATGCCCAGTGGGTTAGCAGGCTCTGGAGCACAGGCAGGACCTACAGCGGGACCAAGAGAGAAACCTCTCCCAAGTGAGTCAGCTGAAGGAAACAATGCCTGTGGGCTGCCCTGCCCTGGGACCGTTTTTAATGATTTCCAGACTGAGAAACTCTCTGAACAGATGGGATGTTTGGACACAGAGCACTCCCACTTTCCACACATCTGAGGGAGGCTGAGAACCTCGCCATCCACAGAGATACTGCGGAGCTACTGTGGAACATCATCAGTGGCCTGGACAAGGCTCTCTCTGTGTTGTTATCACCTGGGGGACGCACTGTTCCAGGGCCCCAGACCATGGCAAGTTCAGTATCTGAGCCTTGCAGGGTTTTACCTGCTTTGCTGGTGGCAGCTTCTTGCTCTTCAGGATCCTCTTAAACACCTTTTCACGACGTGTGATGTGGAAGTCCCAGCAGGGCACTCCCACGTCCTGGCTTCCGACTGAGCCTTCTGCAACTTCCCCTTCCTGATGAAGGCTCTTGCAGCCACCATGTTTTTCCAGAGGCTTCTTCTCTGGCTTCTCCGGAGACTTACTGTTCTTCTTCTCGTCTTTGTGTTTAGGGGAAGACTGGGACTTGTCTCGCACCTGGTTCATGATACCCTGAACCCTGTCCCAGGATGACAGAATATGTTTGATGTTCTTCTGTGAAGACTCATAGATGTTAAACCTCAGGTCCAAGATCCTCTCACGCTTACTCGGGACCTCTGGGATTTTGGTTTCCTGCTGCTCTTGTTTTGCTGCTGGTTTTTTGGGCTTACTTGGGATCTCTGGGCTTTTGGTTTCTCGCTGCTTTTGTTTTGCTGATGTTGTTTTGCGCTTACTCTGGACCTCTGGGCTTTTGGTTTCCTGCTGCTGTTCTTTTGCGGGTAGCTTAAACCTCACCGAGTGGCCAGTCTTCTTCTTCTGCAGCTTGTTTTGCTTCTTTGAGGCTTGTGACGCCTCACGCTCCCGAGCCAGCCGCTCCAGCTCCCTTCTGCAAACCAAAGAGAAAACACCTCCGAGAGTCACCACCAGAAACCTGGGCTCACTGTAATCCCAGCTGACTCTGCCCTTCACTCCTTGACCCTGAGGCCAGGCAGAACTGTTAGACCATCTCCGTGGACCTGCCTCAACCCAGAGAGCTTGGGAACATCCCAAGTGAGGAAGGCTGGGAGGCAACCACTGGGATGGCCAGCCAAACCTAAGCCTGGCCATCATGAGGTATCAACTGTGCAACTTCTCCCCTGAGGTTCACCTGGACACCTCCAGCACGCTGCCAAAGGCTGATCCACCATCTCTCTGCAGTGATGAATGTAGCCGCCCTCCCTTGGTTTCCCAGTTTAAAGCTGCCCGGACTTTGAGACACCTTCGTGGGCAGTGGCAAGGCAAGGCCAGAGCCCAGCTCCCCACAGGCCATGTCTAAGCCAGAGAGCTCACGGCTAAACTGGAGAGAAGATGTTCTCATCTCAACAGAGATGGTCCTTCCTCTCTTGGGAACCGGGGACCTGGCCCTGGCCATCCTTGTGCTGCTTCTGGCCTTTGCTCCTGAACCCCTCTGAGCTCAACCATGGTCCTTGGAGCAGAGAAACCCTCCAGGGACACTACCTTGAGGACTAACCCAGGGAAGGCTTACTTACCTCTCACGCCGCTCACGCTTGATTTGTTCTATTTTGTAATCAAGCAGAGCTTTCTCCTTCTCAGGGAGGGCGTTGTACTCATCCACATCCACATCCCAGAGACGTTCCTCCTCTCTCCGGGCAGCTTCTGCCTTCTCCCGTGCTTCAGCACAGACCACAAGAGAAGCCATTAGTGACTGCAAGCAGAGTCTGGGGCTCTGGGTCAGCTGCGAGGATTCACAGCTCTTTCCTGACCCAACCTCTCATCCTGCCAGGAGACACTGCGGAGCTCACATCCCTGCTCCAAAATTCAGACAGCCCCCCAAACTGTGGCCTGGCTCAGGTGCACTGTGGCTGTGGACAGTTGGCTGGGGTTAGTCACTGAGCCACGCCAGCTTGCACTTGTACCCAAGCTTTAATGATTGGGATTAGGGTGAATCTTACAGCCTCAGATCTGCTGTATTTAAAGAAACTGTGAGCTAGAGTGCTGGCTACACTGAGGCAGAAGGTAGAAGGGTCAAGCAAAAGATTTCTTACAAGCTCTGCTGCAAATGCAGATACATACAGATAAGGCTGAGGGCTTGAGAGAGATATGAGAGCGATGGAGATATCTCACCTTTCTGCTCTTTTTTAGCTGCTCTCCTCTCTCTTGCAGCTGTCTGCCTGCCTTTCCAAAACTCAGAATCCTGGAAGATGTTCACAGCGTAGATATGAGACCGATTGCTGACAGCTTTGAGCACACACAGGAGAGAAGATGCCAGGCTGCTCGCAAAGAGGGTCTCCAGGCCATCAAACACCACTCCCTTGTAGCAGTCCCTCCGCTGCCAGGAGAGACAAACAGGAAGAGTGAGTCAGCCATTGCACACGTTGGGCTCGCAGCAGGTCAGTAAATGCAGATGTCTCAGGGCACCAGCCACTGTCATTCAGATTCAATTAGCTAAGACCAGCTTGGCTCTTGCACTACACTCTGTCAGCTTAGGGCAGCTGCAGCTTGCCCCAAGGATCCCTGCATGCAGCACAAGATCCTCCGGCAGCAGGCACAGACCTCCTCCTCCTCCTCTCCGAGTTGTACCTCACTGCCCGTCTCTCTGGAGCAGGAACGTCTCCATTTCCCCCACGCCACATACCTGCAGCCGTTCAGAGATGATTTCCACCAGCAATTCCTCGGGCAGCACACAGCTCCAACACTTCCGCTTTTTCTCCTTTTTCCCCCTCCTGGTGAGGAGGGTCAGTTGCTGTGGTGCAGGAGCAGCGGCGCAGGAAACACTTGCGATCTGCAATGTGGAACATGGTAAGAAAAATAAAGCCCTGCAGAAAGCTCTGGACAATTCCCACAGCTGGGCTCGCATCTGGACAACTCTGCAGTGCAGGCTGACAGCTGCAGGGGACAGCCCTGGAGGGCCGTCCCTTGGCCAGCAGAGACCCAAGCTTGCAAGCCCCTGGCACAGCCTCCCCCAGCTTTGCTTGCCGCCTGCAGCCAAGTTAGCCAGGAATGCACTTTGCCAACAAACCATTAAGAACCAATGGAGTTTTTCTGCCAGAGCACATTCCCGCCCCAAGCCATGCCCAGCTGGCTCTTGGCACTACAGACCCTGCACCAGGCCCTCGGTGACACGGAGCCCCCACTATAAGCAGCCCTGTCCCATCCCAAAGGCAACAGGAAGGTCCCAGGCATTAACCAGAGCAGACCATGTTTCCCCTTGGAGGTCACTGAAAATCTTGCCTGAGATTTGCTGGATACCTTATCCTTGACTGCTGAAGTGCTCTGGTGTCTGGCACTGAGGGTCTTCTGGCTGTCTTTGTCCCCAGAGCTGGCCTGGGTTTTCTTGGCCTGAGCATCCTTTTTACCTGCAGAGGGGACAGATGGCTCAGCAGGGCCGTGAGGAGCAAGCAGGCACCTTCCACCCCAATGGGCACAGCCTTGCCCCCTGGAAGGGACATGGCACTTGTCCCCCAGCCTGCTGGGCACTAGCAGCACTGCTTCCCAGAAGCAGCTCCTTCCCGTTTTATCCACAGGATAAAGCACACCAGCCCATACTGGATTTTAAGGCCAGCTCTAGGTCCCTCCTGACAAATGTGCATGAAGGTGACGCTGCTAGCACAGGAGCTCCCCTATGGATCAAGCCAAAGATTTGTCCTCCACGACCATTGTTGCCCATCCTGCATTTTCACATGGAGACTGTAACATGCAGCCCTGCCCCAGCTGCATCACCCGTCTCTGCTGGAGCTAAATCCTCCATGTGGGAAAAGCCCAGCTGGGATCCAGACCCTTCTTCTTCCTTCCACCAGCTCTGAACCTAACCAGGTTCAAAATGGAGCAATGCAAAACTTCTCCCCTCACTGAGCAGGTGTGGCCTCACCCTGCAGAGCTCAGGGCACCAACTGCCTAGTAAAGTTTCCTAAAAGTCTCCAGTCTGATCTGGAGAACAGCAGAGCGTGCACAAGCTCTGTCACCCAATAGTTGGCATAGGAAAATCTCTGGAGAAAAGAGCTCATCTACAGCATGTCTCTCCTTGGAAACTCCTCTGGGAGGTTATTCTTCCCTTCCTCTCACATTTGCAAGGCCACACTCATAGTTGTCTTGTGCTTAACGAGCCACTTCAGAGGGCTTTCTCCTCGTTAAGGTGGACAACGGTTCTGCCTGCTGCCCATGAGGAACAAGCTGGATTCAGCTTTGAGGAAATATAAAAAATTCAGAGAAAGAGACAGGTGTGCTTGACCACTCCTAGGAAGAGGAATATGTGCCAAGGATGGCAGTAAAAGTGCCCCTGTCAGAGCCCTTACAGCTGGGCTTCTTATTTTAAAACCAGCCAGAGATGCACAGCACTCGTGTTCCCTAAGAGACCCAAGGGCTGTCAAACTATTTCTCTGAGCAAGCAGAAGGTCGTGGTGGTTTCCTAAGCGTGCTCTGGGTCCAGTGTTTCTCCTTACCCAGCATCTGTTTCCTCGTGGCTCTTTGCTGGTGGGTAGCCTCCACGCACAGGTGCCAGGCACGGCGCCCGGCCGAGCTGCGCTTGTCCGACATGGCTTTTACCACCATCTGGTCGAGGGACAAGCGGGCGGCACCGTAATACTTGGACAGGGCGGCTGCCGCCCTTGTCTTTCCTGAGAGAGAGAGGAAGACTGCTTGGTGACACTTGCACATGAGGCATTTTCAGGGACAGGCTCTGGAAAACTCACAAGCAGGTGTCAAGGATGGTGGGAAAGCAAATGCTCTTCTAGGGCAGACCGCAAGGGAGGCAGCTTGGGCGTGGTTACGAGCGCTGAACTCCAGAGCCAGGTGGACCATCTCCACCTCGTATTCAGCTGGGGACTTTGTCTCAGGCACCAAGGCCCACCAGGATGCATTTCTCCTGCTTCCCCCTCTCCTTGCAGCCCAGGGCTGCAGCTCATGTACCTGTCCGGGGTGTCCCATAGACGATGATGGCAATCCCTCTGGGCTTTTGGGCTCCGAGCTCTTCTATAAAGGGATTGGTGTTGAGGTAGCGCCTGATGGCCTGATCGATGGGGCGCTCACACTTGTCCACCATGTCCTTCAACAACTTGATGCTCCCTTTAAGCGCTGCTGTACAGAACCAGTAGAAAAGTCAGCCTCCTGCCTACCTTTGATCCTGATCATCCTCCCTATCCCCTCAGATGCAAGGAAAGGAGATGGCTGAAAGCAACGTGAGCTTGTGCTTTTGTGGCTGGGAAGGAGCAAATATAAAAGAGCCAGTGATATTAGACCTGGTCCTACTGACTGAAGAGCTCATTTGATGCTACTCTTTGTGGCTAAGGGATGCAAGGGAACATCCTGGGTACTTCCCAGTCCATGGCAGGCAGATAGGACCTGGCTTTGGCTACACTCCAGGTTGGTAGAGGATGCCACAGCCCTTCACCCAAGAATCTCTCCACAAGGCAGGAGATCAGATGGCTGCTAAAAGCATGGGCTTTGCATGGAGAACAAGGCGACAGAGAGCTCAGGGTGTGTGGGCTGGGCTCCTCGCTATGTCCACAGTCAGAGCAACCAATGCCAAACCAATTACCATTGTCCTGGCCTGATTCTTCCTTGCGCTTGGATATAATCTCTTGACCCAGAGCCTCCATCTTCCATTTTTCATAGTATTCCAGCACCTCTGGGGGCAGCTTCTCACCCACAGCGCGTGGAGGTATCAACACGGCTGTCTGGTCTTCAAACTCCTCCAGCGTGCGCAGGATCTGTGTGCGTGGGGAAGAGGAACCATCCATGAGATTCCTTCATCAACCTCCATCACACCAACAGACTCAGCCCATCTTCTCCCTCCCTCCTGCCTTCCTCCCAACAACACAGGCTATCCAAGCCCCTCCACAGACTGCCAGCAGAGATGGCTCACCTCAAAGCGCCCCCAGGCTTTGCCCTGGGGATCGCCTCCATCTCCCTGGCACAGGCCTGGGAAGGCTGGAGTGCTGCAGAGCTTGGGGAGCATGCACATGGGGACCAGACCTTCCCTCTCACCTTCTCCTCCTCACGGTACTCCTCATCAAACTCCAGTGAGTAAAATTCAATGGGGAACTCGCAGGGGTTCTTCACCACCACTGTCCTCTCCAGCTCAGGGCTGCACGGCAGCAGCGCTCCCAGATTGATCTCTGCGGGGCTGAACTCCAGCCGTGGCTCGAGACCCTGTCCTGAGATGTGCAGCACGAGGAGCTGGCTGTTGCCACGAATGTTGATCTTCAGCTCGGTTTTGTAGGATTTCTGAAAAGAGAAAAGTGCTGAAAACTCGTCCATGAAGTCCCAGGTGACAGGACCCCAAATACAATCCTTGCCCAAAGGTCAGGGGTGTTATCAGTCCCCCCGGGGGGAATGGAAACCCAGATATTTACTTATGCTAGCGGCTACAGCATCTGTGTCCTTGGTTCTGAGTAACTGGGACGAATCCTGGTGTACAGTGTAACTGGGTATTTGGGTATCAGATGGGTGTAAAATGGGTTATCAGATGTTCTCCCCTAGTCACGGAGGAGCACATGAGAAAGGCCCTCAGTCCTGGCACTGAGGCATCAGGCAAACACCAGCTCCATGAGAGTGGCAGATGGCTCTCGCTGGCTAGAAATAAAGGTCATCTTCTCTGCTCAGTGTTTGGGTCTGGTCAAAGCCTGACACAAGAGGGTTGCTTGCATCTCTCTAGCAATGAAAAGATCCCTGGGACTGTTCTTGGGCATGGAAGCACTTGTGTCCATGCTGTTACACACTGTCAGTTTCCAAGTCCCACGTGCAAAGGGCTTTGGGGAGTTTTCCATCCTTTAAGTTGACTCCCCACCTGCATGGCAACGTGCAGGCAGGCTGGGCCGGAGCCCCAGGGACTGCTGGCACCACACCACGACAGGTGACTGTCCTGCCGTGCCCAGGAAGGTGTCTGGTGGCTGTTTTGTCTGTCGGTGCCAGCAGCAGGACAAGCCAGCACTGGCCCTTCCAGGTTGATCCCCTATGACTGTGCCAGCTCCTCTGCACCCAGCGCCGCAGGCTGCAAATACAACCAGGCAAGGGGGAGGACAAGGGGAACCAGGCAGATCTGATCTCCCCCCATGTGCAGAGAGGCAGCCACAGCACGGTGCCCTGATGTTCTCTGTGGGGATTTCAAGGTGCCTCTTAGAAGGGTGTGCTGCAGGGGAAGCTGAGGCACAGTGAGTGCAGGGCTTCCAGAAAGCTGCCTGTGGAGAAAGAGCTCATCTGCCACTCCCTGTGTCGGGCTCTCCTTACCACCCTGCCCCGACAGATCTCCAGGGGCGACACCTGCCAATCTCACCTCTTCCTGGGGTGAAAACTGGATCTGCAGGTCACACCACTCTCTACCATAAAGGGTTCCCTCACGGGCCTTCCACTGAAAGACACGGGAATCATCCTTCCCAGCCTGGAGCTCCTTCTGACACATGGCCGGTGTCAAACGTTTGTCCACCTGAGCACAGAAACCAGTCATGTTAGGTCTCCTTGGTCTGCGAGGTCAGAGCCTGGGTTCCTGCAGTGCAGTGGGATCCTGTCCCGGTGCTGAGAGCACCCATAGCAAACCTGGCATGGCCCCCACCACCTAGAACTGGAGGGAAAACCTGCAGGCAGGGCAAGCAGATGGGGAGCCACCATCCTGTCCTCAGATGGGGAGGACGAATGGGTGAAGATGGCAGAGAAGCAAAGCATCAGCCAGTGGAACAGGTCCAGGCAAACCAGCCTCGATCTGGACCCTCAAAAGCTCCCTCAAACACGCTGCAGCCCAAGCGTTCAGGCAGCCACAGGCCCAGAAAAGGCAAGAGGTGCAAAGAAAACCCAACCGCAAAGCTGCGTGTTACACTCCTGTGCTTTACCTTCTTGGCAGGTTTGTTGACAGTGATGGACCATTCACAGGGCGCGTCAAACCGGTTGTAGAGCCGGACTATTTCATACCGGCTCTGCCCAACCTGGACACTGGGGAACTGGATTCTGTCCCTGGAGACGCTGAGCAACAGCTGAACCACAGTGGCACGGAGGCGGATGTGTAGCGTGGGGCCCTTCTCTACCTGGAGAAGGACAGAGAATTCAGCTGAGAGTCCAGCTGGCATGTGCTGCTGCGCCCAGCCTGCTGCCTGCCCCATAAGCCGCGGTACCTTGATGGGCAGGAGCACATCCACCTCTCCCACTGGAAGGTTGGCACTTTCAAAGTTCACTTGAAACAGTCTGCTGGCGCCATAGACCAGGAACTTCACGGGCTCCAGGTGTATGCTGAAACCTTGAACAGATGAAAATAAAGCAGCTGAGATAGACAAGCAACATGAAATGTGTCATAAGCCTGTTAAAGCCATATGGGTATCCTGCTGGGAGCCCTGGGAAAAACGCCATGCTGTGCTGTTCCCAGGACAGAAACGTAGAGGAGACCCCTGAGCAGCCCTCAGACACAGCGAGCCACTCTGGGATGGAAGTGCAGATTTGTCTCCAGGCCTCTTTTGGATCCATCAGAGGATCAAACAGGCCGTTTCCTCAATAAAGGCTGAACACAAGAGCTGTGACAGTGTGAACTTCAGACAAAGCACTTTCCAACCACAACAGATCCCATCTGTTTGCTACACATGCCCAGAGTGCCCAAAGAAACTTGATGCCGATGGGAACCAAAGGTAGAGGATGCTGGCAGGTGACGAGGGTAATCAGCTCATCAGGCCCCTGCAGGGAAGCACCAGGGCAGTCACAGGCAGGCCAGGTCCCTGGGCACACCTGGCCAGGAGAACTCTGGCTCTAAAGTTCCCAGCAGGGGCACTGGGAGGAAGAAGCTCAAAAAACCTCCCCATGTGCAGCGGCTTAAGCTAATCTGTCAGACAGCTCCGTGCAGCCCACGGGAAGTCTCTCCAGCACTGGTTACCTGTGTCACGCAGGGCACGTTCGTTGGCCTGGACGGCCACTGGGAACCTCCAGGTGTTGGTGATCTGCACAGTGCAGGTTCGACTGCAGCCCTGAACGACAGTGCCCATGTCCAGGATGTACTCGGGCAGCTTAACTCTGGAAGGAGGAGTAAGGACAGTCCTTAAACAACAGCACGGCTACACGTTCAAGCAGATGGAAGATTCAAATAAAGTGCATGTCTGTACTGACTGCTGTAAAAACTCAACTCAAGCTTATGAAACCCAAGGCCTGACCACCTGGCAGTGACTTTGGGAAGTTATGGGGAGTGCAGGTCTTAGGTTTCATCAGCTCCCAATGGGACCCAAAACTAAGATTAGTTTTAAATGGACTCTGGTCACAGCTCCTCCACTATAAAAAGCCAGTGTAGGTAAATCCACTGGACCTCCAGTGGTCTCAGTGAAACCGCTTCTCCTGGTGTACAGCCCAAGCCTGACATTGCTTCCGAGCCTTGGAATAAGATTTGCTTGCACAGGAAAACTTCACTGCTCTGCAACCAGGGCACATGAAGGATCTGTTTTGCAAAGCATCTTCCTGAACTGGAGCCTCCCATGCCCATGCAGCATCATGAAGGAGCAAAGGGAAGGACCAAGTTACCCAGATAAGCCCCGCCACCCCACCAGCATCAAAGCCACCTTCTGCTTAGGGTGCTCTGTTACTCAGAACGGAGAGAGCAGCTCAGGGTTCTCTTTCAGAGCTGGTCAGCAAGGACAGTGTCTGTGCTGTCTGGAAGGGCTTGATGGTCTGCTCTGGGCCCCCTGAGCTCTAAGAACAGGACCTTGCCCCCGTGGGGAGCGGAGCAGCTCCAAAGCTCAGCGTGGTGCTGGGGAAGGGAGGACAGTCAGCTGCTCATGAGCTATTGCTGTCACAGCTATTGGGATCAGACCCTTTCTGAAGTGCCCACTGCTCCCAGTTCTGCATGCACAAGGAGCTCTCAGGAGCAGGGGACACTGCTGGGTGTTGCCCTCAGGGCACCTGCAGAGAGGGGAGAGGAGTCCCTACTCACTGGACAAGCTTCTGAGGAATGTGCTTGTCAAAGATAGTGTCCTCTGGGGGGCGGGAGATGAGAATTTGGGATTGCTCCAGAGCATCTTCCTTTATCAGCATCTGCTCCATCTCCATCCGCAGCCAAGTGTTGGACTGAGGGAAGGCAAGGCAGGGGCTGGTTAGCAAAGGCCCTTCTCAAGGCCCAGGCTTGTATCTGAAAGAGGATCCCACCCTGCTCTTGTTGAGAGGAGGAATGGGGTCCTCCTGTCTGGCTGCTCAGTGTCCGTGACACGTTCTGCTCTCTTAGCCAGGACCTTCTCTCCAGGGAAATAACTGCAGCATCTTTGCCTTCCCACCCACTGCTAGAAAAGCTGATCTGGCCAGACAGACAAACCAGCAACCTTCCAGAGTTTCAGGAATTTTCCTGTCCCCAGGCAGTGCTGAAGCAGCTTGGACAAAAGCTGCCTTGAAAAGGGAACCCCAAACCAAGCTGGTGGCTCTCAGAGTTGAGCACTGCCAGCACAGTCCCAGGGCACTGTCAGGCTGCTGCTACTAAGGACTGGAAACCTGCTAGGGCTTGATTTGGGAGCAAATCAAGCTCCCAGTAAGGGGAGCAGCCAGGAAGCTTGGTACATCTCCAGGAGAGACCACGACCAGAGGTGGGGCAGCGCTGAGCTGGTGCCTGTGTGTGGCCAGGTGTGGGCACGGAGGCCACAGGTGCCAGCAGGGCACCGAGAGGCTGTTGTGGGGTGCCAGGGGCTCAAGTGACACGGACTGCAGCTGTTCTTACCACAATGCCAGGGCCCTTCACGTGTCGCTTCTTGATTGGAAGCTTCCTCCAAATACTTGCTTTCTTGTTCCGCTTGTCTTTTTTCAGCTTTTCTTTCACCTGTTTCAATAGCTCCTCGTATTTTTTACTTCCTGAAGGAAGAAAACATTCACAAACAGAAGTGTGGGTGCAGTGCCAATGCCATTTAAACTGAGAAGTCCCACTCCCCCGAATTCTGGTCTCTCCCAGAAACAAACCATCTATGGAAAGTCATCTATGGAAAGTGGACGCTTCTGCTCGTCTCTGAATCCTCATGTTCACTCCCACCCATCTTCTTCCCCACAGAGGAGCATCTCACCCTCTGCAGTGTCATGCAAATCCAACCCTGACAAAAGCCCTGCCAGTCTCTCTTACATCTTTCCCAAGCTTTTCTGTCTAGCCATCTTTGCAGGCCTCTGACAGATGTGCTGGCAAGATCTGCAGGATGGTTCCTGGGACAAAGCCTACATGTGCTTGTCTGCTCAAGATTCAGGAAGCAACCAGAGGGGATAGTGTTGGTCTGGCAGCCCTGCAACCTCCAGGCTTGGTGGAGATGGGCATTACAGTAGGGAAAAAACCCAGCGGGGACTTTGCCGGGGAGCAGATGGACAGTGCTCACCTTTGATGCTCCAGGGCAGGTTCATACAGATCCCGGCAAAGACTGCCTCTCCCTTCAGGGAGATTTCTGCCGGTCCCAGGTGACCCACTTGAACCTGGAAAGTCCTGCAGAAGACTCCTGGCACTCCTGGCAGGTAATGGAGCTTCAGCACTTGCTCCTCGCCAGGTTCAATGTAAGCCTGCAGGGACAGGAGAAGAGGGAGGCAAGGCAGGATGGCTCAGGCGACAGACAGGCTGAGAAGAGCCTCCAAGGTGAGGGTGCAGTGTGTCCTTCCGAGGGCTTATAAGGCTGCACCCCAGCAGAGCCTGCCCTGTGCTCAGCGTGAGCACGGCTCTGCTGCTAACGGGGTTTGTCCTCTGCCAGCAAGAGCCAGGCTGAACAGATAAAAGCTCTTTTGCCACCACTGGAGAAGAGCAGCGAAGTGCCCACACTCTCAGCCGGGCCAGCAGCTCCTGTCACCCCTCGCAGGACACAGGCATGAAGAAATGGGAAAACCAATTCTCTACCCATTGCAAAGAGGGACAAAGACAGGAACACCGCTTCACCTCAAAGGCATCCAGGCAGCACTGAGAAGCTGGGGCAGTGGTGGGATGCTCCAAATTCCTCCCTTTGCTCTTCCAGCCCCACTCCTCCCTGGCCCCCTCACTGCCCCACAAAGCTGCTACAGAGCAGCATAGCTGGGGGCAGGGCAGGACTAGCACAGGGCCTGTGACAATTTCTGGCAAAGGAGCCTCAAGCCCAAGCAAGGAATATGGAAGTGCTGCTTAGCGCTGGCACGAGAGAGGCAGGGGCAAGGAATAAGTCCTGTCTGATCCCACAGCTGGGGTAAGGTGGCCCTCAGAAGAGCCTCAGTGCCAGCACAGCCACAGAGCTCAGCAGTCAGCGGCCAAGGAGCGACCAACGTGCTCGTGCCTCCCGCCGGTGGCTGCCCTGTGATGGCAGAGCCACTCGCCAGCCAAGGCCACGGGGGAGTCTGTTAGGATGGCACTTGCTTGACCTTCTCTGTCCCCAGCTGCAATTGCTTACAGCCCCATCTCTCATGGCTGGGCTTGGTTTTCTTTCCCCCCTTTTTACCCCCCTTTTTCCTCTTTAACCCTCTCCTCGGCCACCTGACACAGGGCTGGGGTCAGTCAGTTGTGCTACTCACTGTGTTGGGCAGGACCATGAGCACACCAGGCAGAGGGTTGTCTGCAGTGCCAGTGCTGGGGCTCTGTACCACGTAGGTGAATCCGATCTTCCCCTTGTTCTGCAGGGTGACCTCTGCTTTGATGACTTCATTAAAGAGCTGAAGAGAGGACAGAGGAGTGGGAAGTTACAGACACAGGCCTGCTGCTGGGAATCTTCTCCCTCTTTCATGGGGTTGAGAGCAGACACACTGCAGGAGCAGAGAGCGGGGACCAGCTACGGGCACTTGGGAACCTGGGGAACCCCCAGGCACAGGGACCTGCACAGGAACAGAGAGTTCTGGCAGCACACAGAGGTGCAGTAACAACCACAGGAGGGCCAGTAAGAAATGAACCAGCAGACACGGGCCTTCTGCATTCTGAGGGGTCACAACAGCCAGGAGAAACAAAGGAGGTGGCATCGAGGCATTCCACAAGAAAAGGCACCGGCATGCAAGTATTGGCAAGCAACATACTAGCAAAAAGGGAGACAGATAGGACACCAAGACAGGGACAGCAGCTGGAAAGATCTGTGGACTTTTAACTGAGAAGCAGTAAAGTGGGGATTTTTCTGGGACATTCTCTCCAACTGCAGTCACTGGAAGCCCAACCGGGTCATTTTGTGGATTATGCAAGAGCATTAAACAAGAGCATCTTGCTGGACCTCAGGCTTTAGGAGTGGATCAGCAGAGGGATGCCTCAAGGACATGTCCCTCTGGACATCCCCACTGGGATCCTGCTTGTTCCAGCAGGCAGCATTAGGTACCCTGAAGAGAAGGAATTCCCAGTATTTTGGAAGGGGGTGGAGATGGCCAGACATATCCTTAAAGGTGGTACTTCCAAGCCCCAGAGCCAACAGAGGAGTTGGCAAGTGGTGGGAAGCAACCTGCTGGTGATGGTTCCAAGGCAGCAGCTCTGCCAGGAGAAGGGAGTGGTACCTGCAGGCCGAAGTCAATCTCCTCGACGCTCAGCTGGTAGGTGAGGACCGAAGTCTCCCCCTTCAGCTCCACCTGGTAGGTCGGGCCTCCCTCCACATGGCACAGCGCCGTGACACGGGCGACGATGTTGGCATGGCCAAAGAAGGTGAAGGGCACCTGCTGGCTCTTGCCCGGCTGCAGCACACCAGACACCGGCTGGACATCGAAAACCTGGGAAGGGGAGGAGAGATTAAGTTGTTGAGCGTGGAAATGGGTGCAGAAGAGCAGCCGTGGCTTGGAGCAAAGTACAGCTGTAGCTGGAGGAGCCTGTTCCTCACACACCAGCCTGAAGCATCCTAATCTCATCCTGCCTCCATGCCACTGACCAGTGGAGGGAGCATGGCAAAAATCTTCTGCCATACTCACTGATCAATGCACCAATTAATACCAGACATTAAAGTAAACTGGGATGTCTCCTGGTAGCAGGACATTCTCTCTGATGCAGAACTTGCCTTTAAAACCAGTTTTTACTGCCTTCAGAAAAGCAGGAGACTCAGAGGCGAGAGCTCTTGGAGCTGAGGGGAGGACTCCAGCCCAGCTCATCTGACTCCTGAGGCTTTTCCCTCTCTCTCTGACTTACAGGCTCCTCTCTCAAGGGGCTACACCAAAAGCTCCTGAAAAATATCCTACTGAGCACCTGATGAGGTACCAGGGAAGCAATGCCCTCCATGGGTGCTGCACAGGGAGTTCTGTAGCTGGAGGGGGCAACAGACCTGCTTGCCACACTGAAAACGTGCAAGTGAGAGAGATTCCCCCCTACCTCTTCCACTCTGTAGCCACGGGGCTTTGTCTCCACAGACTGCCCAGATCCCTTCGTCTCCACTGAGCTCCGAGGCTCTTCAACAGTGTATGGTGGCACCTGAAAGACAAGCCACTTTCCAGTCCAGGACACAGCCACCTTGCCAAGTCTCATTCTATGAGAGGCAGCTCTGGGGCCGTCACGGCAATACTGGCTCTTGTGTGAAGGCAGAGACCTGAAAACGGGTGGTCTAGCTGGGTTGGGAAGGGGGTACATGGAGATTAGGATTTGGCACAGCTTGCTACAGGAAGGAAACTGGAAGTCTTCTCATCATGAGGCAGAAAAGCCTCATTTTACATTGTAAAGAGAACAAGCCAAAGAAATCCCAAACTCAGCACAGGTCTGTAGGATCTGAGGGGCTTCTCCAAGGAAAAGTATCCTATCTCTCCCTCCCCAGATGCCCCATGTCCAGCCACTGGCCCTGCTGCCCAGCCCACTCTCAGGGCACAGAACAGCTGGGCAGCAAAAGGGGAGGTCGGCACAAGCACGGCTTTTTGGTGGCAAGCTGGGGCAGCAACAAAAGTGGGGCAGGTGCACAAGAAAATCCACCTTTGCTTCCGGGGAGTCCTCTGAATCTGATGACTCTTCAGAAGAATCGTCCTCTGTTTCCAGGGAATCCTCTGAATCTGATGACTGCTCAGAAGAACCCTGCTTTGTTTCCAGGAAGTCCTCTGAATCTGATGACTGTTCAGAAGAATCGTCCTCTGTTTCCAGGGAGTCCTCTGAATCTGATGACTCTTCAGAAGAATCCTCCTCTGTTTCCAGGCAGTTCTCTGAATGGGATGAATTTTGGGAAGAGCCCTGTGCTGCTTCCGGGGCTTTGGCTGGCTCCTGCACACTTCCAGCTCTGAAGTATCTCCTTGAATAACGCCCACACTCAACACAGCCGAACCTGGCCATTTGTGGTTGGGGTTTCGATGGTGGGGCAGGGATGAACCTGGAAAATAACGTAACTAGGATCACAGACCTACAGTGGGAGGGAGGGAAACCTGCACGAGCAGTTCCTCGTCAGGATGGGTGCAGGTGCGGTGAGCTCAGAAAGGGGATGTCTCAGAAAAGGAAAAGGAAGGGGAAGGTCACAAGATGTTCAGCATCAGCTCAGGTGCTAACTAGCTCTTTCTGTGATGTGAATTGGGACTTTCTGGGCAGCCTCCAGCACTTCCAGGCCAAGGCTGGGAATGCAGAGAAGGCAGCAAGAAGCAGAGAGCAGCTTCTCTGCTTGCACAGAGGACCCATCCCAAAGCACAGGGGCCAAAGGGCTGTGAAAGTGCCTCCATCAGCACTGTGGAGCTGGGACTAGGAGCCCTTCTCCAAGGTGCTCACTGCCTCAGGCCACAGAGGCCTGAGAAAGCAGATTTCCCCACCAGCTTTCCTTCCCAGAGGAAGCCAGTAGGGAGGCAACAGCAGCACCAAACTTGTGGAAAATGCCTATGCCCTGAGCATCCAGCCTGACCGTGGCTGGTCTCTGTTATTTCCACAAGGCAAAGTCAAAAGCAGTTTGTCAGATCCCTGGCAAACAGCTTTGGTCTCTGCAAAGCACAAACAGGACTCCAGGAGAAAGGGCTTCCCGGAGGGGGCAAAGGTGCACATACCCTGTCGGGTACTCCACGCTGTCCATCTGGAATGACCAGCGGTAGCGGGCAGGAATTGGGCTGCAGTTGGTCATCTCCAGGTAACACACATGTTCTGTGCCAGTCTCGATGCAACCAAAGTCCAGTGCTTTGGTCGGGATACGGAGATTCGGGAAGTAGACTTCTCCCCGAACGGCGATCCCCTCCTCATGAGGATGTTCCACAAAGCGGATCTTCACAGTCCTCTCTGTTACCCAGCTGATCAGATCCTTTTTATGAGCTGGGTTAAAGCCAACGTAGAGATGAAGTTCCTCCCCTGCCTCCATCTTCACAGGCTGCAAGAAGACAAGGAGTATTAATCACCCACACGATGAAGTCCCAAGGTCTGACAGCATGAAACTGTAAACGCTCAAAGTGGGACCCCAGCACGGGCTTCCCAGTCCACCCTTCTTTTCTTTACAATGAGGGTCTGAGTGCAAGTACCACACTCTGGTGGGGGATTCTCAGGCTCCTGTTTCTGTGCTCGGCAGCAATACAAGAGGATGGCTGCTGGAGAGCTGGGCTGCTCTCCAGGAGACACCTTTGCTGCATGGCTTGCCCACACCTGGCTGCCTGCTCCCTTCTCCTCCTATCTTAGAGCCAGGAGGGATCTTTTTCAATTCAGATGAGTTTTCATTTCCTTCAGCAGCTCTGCTGACTCTGCTGACTCCGTTCACAGTTCAGGCCAGTCCACTGCTGATGCTATGGAATAAACTTCTCGACTCGAGGACCTCCCAACAGAAGGGCACCACCACAGCCCTCCCTCTTCAAAGCCCACTGGCAGGAGGGTCCTTGGCTGCTCACCTTGGCTTTTGCAGGGAGGGGCTGCTGGTCCGCATCACAGATTAGGAACGGCTGCTCCAAGTCCAGCAAAAGGCTGAATGGCAGGCAGCAGGTGTTTTTTACAGACAGAGGCTTGTACTGAAGAGTCAGGACATCATCGGGGTGCTACAGAAACAGGAGACAAGGAAAAACAACCTCAAGTAGCCATAGACCTCCTTCCCCTTCCAATGCATTTCCCATTTTTCAACCTCAGAAGTGCATACATCTCTATTTACTCTTTTTATTGGTTTCTAAACCTTCCAGGACATTTTTCTCCATAGCAGATTCTTTTCATGTTCAGAAACCACAGCCTCCCCTGGGAGACAAGGAAACACTCCCATGAACAGGGAAGGGAATAGGCCCCTGAGAGAAGGCAACTGCTTGAACAAGATCAAAGGCAGAAAGTGACCCCAGAACATTCGTCTCCAGTTTTCTCTCCTCTCTTGGGCAGAATAGCACAAGATGATCTTCCTTCACATACAGTCATTTCTCACAGCCTCATGGGCTCTAGCAGCCCCCTAGAAGCAGTGATGTCAGTCAGAAGAGAAAAGCAAGCAGGATTTGGCCCACGGTGGAGATCCTGCAGCAGCCCAAGGATAGCTTTGAACATTCCATGAACATGTGGCCAGCCAGAAGCCTCAACAGTCCCTCTGCAATAATCTGTGTCCTGCTGCCTCTGCTACTGGGACATGGTGTCTATAACCGCAAAGTTATGATCACCCTAAGCTACTTCTTGTTTGTGCATTGTGGTGGGCTTCTTGTATGGTGCAACAAAAACAGACAGTTTGGGAAACTAGTTCTGGATGTATTGATATTAAACAGCTGCATAGTATGCCATAAATCAGTGTGGCATCAAGCAGAGCACAGGCATCAGGGAGAGCTGCAAAGCTTCTCATTACATCTGGACTGCCTGTTCCCAGGATTCGGTGCTTCCATGGAAGCCTGGGAACCTGAGGAGAGACCCGAAACCACAGAAACTAAAGCATGGAACATCTTTTCCAGGCACCTTGTGGGAATGAGGATAGAGAAGTTGGGCTCCAGAGACTGAAGCGCACCTGCTTTGCCTCGGTGTCATCATCACCGCAGCTGCAGGACGTGTGTGGGTCCTTTGAAGCAGGTGAGGCTTGGGGAAATGCACAGAGCTATGCCATATAGCTATACCATAGAGCATCCATACCAGCAGCAGAGAAGGCACAGACACATTGGAGATGACAAGTTTTTCCTCATCAGCCTGAGGAATTCACAGGAATATCTGGTTTTCCCAGCTTCCCTACAGCACTGGTGTTCAGACATCACCATGCGTTGGAGGATCCTCAAAAACCTCCCTTGACAGTGAGCACAGAAACTGGCATTTCTCTCCAAGTGGCCATGGTCCCCCTCAGCAGTGCAGCTGTAGCCTGTTAGACTTTGAGGAAGGTAAACACCAGTCTCATCTCTAAAAACATCCTCACTTACTTTACAAAGTGCCTCAGAAAGGGTAAAGAGGGGTTTACCACAAGCATACACGCCCCACAAGCTCTCTCGCTGAGCCATGCTGTTAATTGCCAGGATACAATCCAGAGACCTACCTTCTCCACACGGAAAGTGATTGCTCTGGATGATATTTGCACGACGGGAGAAATGAACTTGCAGGTGACCTTTGTCTTTATTATCTCTTTCATTGTGATCTCTGACCCCACAGCTGCGTGACACACCAGCTTCTCCTCCACCTCCTGCATGCAAGAGTCACTTGTCACCAGTGGTGCTGGCAGGGTGTCCAGCAAACGCCCTGCGTTGGCTCCTCACCCACCATGGGCCACAAAGTTACAGACATGGCTCCCTTTCCTCCTCGTGCCACAGCCCATTTCTTGTGTGCTCCAATGTCCGTAACGCTGCCCCCCAATAGCCACAAAAGGCACTTGGGAGACACTTCCTCCCTTCACAGGGCTTCTCTTTTACTCCCTGCTTACCCCTGATAAACCACTTGGCACTTGTTTAATTCACTTTCTGCCTGGGCTCCTAGTTTAAGTGTAACCTCTTTTCTCTGCCCTTCCTTTCTGCCTCAGCAGGTGACACTGGTAACCTCCTGTTTGCCCCAAAGGACCAAACTTCCTTCAGCCTGTGTTTTGGGATCAGCATTGCGTTTTGGGAGCTATGGAATCACAAAAAAGCCTTAGCAACTGATGGTGGCCAGCAAGCAAAGCCCCTGGTGCTGCCATGGAAACCTGTAGCCTTAAACACTCCCTTGAAGGCCCTTGCTCATTTTCCCAGGCAAATGTCAAGGAGCGGCAGGAGAAGCCCCAGAGGAGGGGACCTGATGGGGAAGGCTCAGCCCTTGGCAGGGACCTCACCTGGACAGTGCTGGAGAAGCCTTCCACCACCAGCTCCATAGTCTCGCCTGGCTGTAGATACATACTCCGTGGCCGCAGCTTAAATATGGGGGTGGCAGATTTGGGGCTCTGGGAAGCATTTTTGCCCTTGGGGACACTGAGGGCAGGGAGGGGATGACGCTGTCGAAAGGTGCTGAAACCTTCTGTGCCCCAGTACAGCCGCTGGAACTGCTGTCCCTTGTTGGTTACGTTGAACCGGAAAATGCAGGGAACGAGGCTAGAGGAGAAGCAGAGATGGAAAACGTCACGGGAGCTGCTATTTCCCTGCAGTCAAGTGCTCTTAGTGAGCAATCCGAGGTGTTAGTAACTTGGAGACTGTCCCCATTTCCTACTCTTAATGTGGACCACAAACAATGTCTGTTGCCCTTCTGATGTCGTTATTGCAAAGAGAAATAAATTTATACTGGTAATAAAGTATTTCCACATCTTCCCTCTCCACAAGGGACTTCCTTCATTACCATGGGCTTTTTCCCTCAGCATCCTGGGCTTCCCTTACTGGATCCAGACTGAAACTATCACTTGGAGAACACTTCACCACCAAGAAGGCCACAAGAAGAGCATCAATGGGATGCCGTTAGAGGCCATGGAGTGGTGATCGATTTCTTTCTACATCTCTCTACCTCACATTTACTGTTCAATAAAAATCTCTACTACTGACTTTGGCGTATGATCTCGTTTGCCCATTAATTCAGGCAGAGGCGTCTCTCTAGTAATTTAAGGAACCTGAGTGTAGCAACATGTCTCTAAAGGAATCTCTGGCTTCAGGAAAACAGAGCCAGGGCCTGGAGCACTGAAGGTCTACAGCATAACTGCTCCTTGCTGAGCCCAGAGCAGAGGCAGGAGTGAAGAGGTCTCTTACTTGAACTGGGGTTCCAGCTTGAGCTCTGGAGCAAATGGTTTGTCAATGGCAATCGTGGTGCCAATGCCCACAGCCTGGATGGGGATGACGCTGGTAAGGCTGTTCTCAATGAACAGCCTCATGCTGTCCTCGAATCTTCCTGTGTCATCCAGGTTTGCCGTGACAACCACAGAAACCTCAGCCTTGGCAGGGACCACTCCTTCCCTGGGGTCAATTCTCCAGCACTTGCCACCCTGTAAGACAAGCCAAGTATGCATTTAGGATGGAAACCACGGACCCTGGTGACTTGTGAGGTGTGAGGAAAGGCACGACTACAGAGAGGAGGATAAAAATCGTAAAGCCTTCGTTTCCCTAATCTAAGCTACCGTGTCTGGGCAAGAGCCAGAACTTATACAACCTGCATTTTACCTCCTTTAACCGACTGTAACAGACTTTTAATTTTGCCCAACCCAAGGGATGCTCCTCCTCAGGAGAAGGTTATTCCCCCTTCAGTCTTTTCTTGGAGTGTGTGCCAAGGGAAGCTGCTTTCTCTCTCCTGGCTTCCCCACAACAGCGTTGGGTTTTCACTAAGGCTCAAAGCTGCAGAAAGCCACGACTGCTCAAATCCCACCACAGCAGCCAGACAGCTGGAGGATAGTGTTGAGAGCCTGAAGACTAACTCTGCAAAACCAGTTGAGCAAAACTCCAGCACCAAAGTCCTCGCCCCTGAAGGAGCAAAGCCCTCGTCTCCCACTGATCATCAGCTGCAAAGAGGTGCCCCCGAGCCCTCTGCTTTGGAAACGTCAGCTCTCAGTGCTTATAGCAGGGCAGGAAAACAGTCAGCAGAAAGAAAACGGCCCTGGAGGCATGGCCCAGCCTTCCCAAGCATTTGTCCTCTGCTTTCTCATGGACTTCCCTCTACGGATGGGGCAAGAAAGCTGCAAGCTGCCCTGGGGAGAGAGGGAAGGCCTCACACTGGGACAGCTGTGCAGACACAGCTTTGCAGGTCCCGGCCTGGTGTGAGCATGCAAAACCTATCATTTATGTGCCAGCACCACCCATCCTCTCTGCAGGGTTGGAAAGCAGAATTTCATTGTGGAGTTGAAGAAAGCTGCCCTGGAAATCCCTCACTTGGGAAGTTACATTTACTCCTCAGACACCAGGAAAAGCATCAAGTGGAAAACCCACTCTCCTCCTCCTTGGCCCGGGAAGCTGAGCCTGGACTCTCCCCCTCTGCCTGAGGCTTTATCCACAGACACCACCACGCCCACCGTGTCGAGGCTGGCTTCAACCAGCTCCAGCAGTGCAGCCCTCTCAGCGTGGACAAGAACAACCCCCCTGCCAAGCCTGTTTGCAAGCCCCTCACAGAGCCCCTGCAGCGGGGAGCACATCCCACCCAGCCCCAGCCCTGCTGGCTGCACCAGCTCTGCTGCACCAGCTCAGCTGTCCCTGCCAGGGGAGCAGCCCCAGCTCCTGCTGCCCTGTGCAGCCTTCGCGAATTAAACAAAGAGCCTTTCTCTGCAGCTGCTCTCCAGATATTCTGGAACGCCGTGGAGGCCACAGGCTCCAGGGGTGCACAACCCCCGCAGGTGTTTTTGTGTGCAACAGCCCGGTGCTCTGACCCCCAAAAAAGGGGAAGCTCCTCTCCCCAGCCGGAGCTTGAGGACAGACCTCCCACCCTACTCTCTACCACTGACAGCGGTTTGGCACAAAGCAAATGTGGAGGGTATGAGGAAACCATAGGGAAATCCTTGGCCTCTCAGGAGCAAAGGGCCACTGGCTTCTCTTCATCTCAGAGCTCCAAAAACGTGACTTGCACCGCTTAATACCTTCCGCAAAATAAAGGGAGACCTTGTAACCTCAATCCAGACTCGCTTCTGCTCCTACAACTCTGCAAACTATTTCACTGAAGGTTGTCCCAGCTAAAACCACCTGCAGAGCCAGGCTCCTCTTGCCTCGGGTGGAACCTCTTGCCTCCTCTCTCCCGCAGAGCAATATAGAAACCTTACATATAAAATCCAAGTCCTGGGCTGCTACTGAGCACTGAGTTTCACTGGGAAACAGCCCCACAGACACTTACGATCTCTGCTCTGAAGGCTGCAGGGACAATACCCAGATTGCACAGCTGGAGAGTTTGGGAAGTGTCCTGTATCACTCGGATCTTGCCGAAGTTTATCTGATTCACACTTGCATAGACAAGCGGTGCCTTTCCAGTGCACATCAAATGCATTTGCTGTTCCAG